TTGGTTTAGGGATGTGCAGTCACTAATGTGGCACTCTGAGACCAACTGGTCCATTGTGATCATCCATAAAAGATATGGAGAGATCTGTAGGGGAGAAGAAAAGGGATAGAAGAAATAAGACAAATTAATAAGCTGTAAAAGAAGGAAGTATGAGTAGGTAGGTAAGTAGAAGTTCGGACAGAAGATATATTACGTACCAAGGTTGCACTTTTCCAACCACTTAGGGTTTCTAATGATGCAGTAGATTAAAGCAGGTTCCATAGTTGAATAGAAATTTACACACGGTGGAAAGTGAGCATCCACCAGTCTGTGTCGTCTGTAGGACAGGAGTGGACAGCAACACAGGATATGCTCAATTGTCTCCGTCTCATCGTCAACACAGAGTGCCACTTACTGGTAAAGGCCCTGATATTGCAACGACCAGTAATGACTCCTGTCATTACTCCGATTTCAGCTTCACACAGGTTCAACAGCGAGTTTGTTCTCTTGGTTGACAGAGTCGGCCAGATAGATCTTGACACATTGCACCTAGGTTCGTTGTGCCAGAGTTCATTGGCTCGTTCGTTGACGAAAGCTTCAAAGTTCCGAAAAAGGTGACTGATGGGTGGTTTGATTGAGACCTCGATTGCTAGATCTTTAGATTGAGATCCGCGTTTAGCTAATTCGTCAGCTTTTTCATTACCTGTGATGTGACAGTGACCTGGTACCCAACACAGCCGATAGCTGTAAGTAAGTGTTTCCAAAACTGCACTACACTCAGATATGATGTTACAGGATTTTATGGTTTTTATGCCCCCCCTGACTATCCACAAAGATAGTCACCGGTTCAACGATCTCTGCATCCAGACTTTTTATAAATTCCACTGCCTTCCAGATCGCGAAGATTTCGGTTTGGAAAACACTACAGTCGCTATCCAGTTTGTATGTAAGCTCAAGTCTAACCTTTTACAGTAGACGCCTGCCCTCGTACTTTCTTCCAACTTGGATCCGTCAGTATAGGAAGCCAGACCGTGTAGAGGAGGGTTGCTACGTTTCAGTCGTCTCTACTAGGTAACGACTTCTACATCGCCAATTCTCAGGACTGGTGATATATAGTCCCTTAGTTTTACACGTTTGTCCAATGTCATGCCTAATTCGTTCAGGATACATTCATGCCCGTATGTGCAATTTCGTTATAGATTTTGTTCTTGCAGTCTTAGAACACTAAGCGCTGCCTGACACTTAATGCTGAGACCCAGAGGCCTTCAGCTCAGCATTACGTTCAGAGCTGCTTGTGAGGTGCTTCTCGCTGCTCCAGTTATTAGAACCGAGGCGGCTCTTTGTGCCTTGCCTAATTTGCTGGATGTTGACTTGTTGTGGCGCAGGCAGTGCCACCAGACAAGAGAACCATAGGAAAGAGAACCGAGGTTTCGCAAATGGAATGACAAATTTAATGTACACTCCAGCTCATGGTGAGGGTATAACAAAGCTTTATTCGGATCATGGGATGATGTTCTTCCAGATTCCTACTTTTCGAGTAAAGCAGAAGATTTATTGGAATCCTATGAAGTCGAACAGGGAAGAAACTATTGACATAAATCTATCAATTTTGGACGATTCTCGGGATAGGAACTATTGAGAACGCTAAATTATGTATTTTCTAATCATAGGACGATATTCTTCCAGATTCGTAATTTTGGAGAAACGTTGAAGCTTATCTCACCTAGGATAATATTCTTCCAAACTCCTACTTTTAGATAAGTATATGAGTCCTAGGAAGACAAACTGGGAAGAAGTCATTGACATTACCATAACGAATATTTTCGACTCTGAGTTCAACAACTGGAGGGAATCGCAAAAATGTTTTTTTTAAGCAGAATTCTTAATGAAATCCTAGGAAGACGAACTGGGAAGATTGATTTCTTCCCACATAAGTATGGTCGCCTCTGTGGTCAATAATTGGAGGGAATCGCATAAATGATTTTTTTTCGGATCGTTAATATAACGTTATCGATAATGGACAACTCTCGGGCCAGGTAATATTGAAAATGCAACTTCAAACTTTTGAAGTATACAGATTTATCGGATCATAAGATAATATTCTTCCAGATTCCTACTTTTCGAGTAAAGTAGAAACATTACAGGAATCCTAGGAAGACGAACAGCGATAAGCAAAAAAACAGCATCTTTGCCCGTTGTTTAATATGACCTCAAAATGACTGAGAACGTTGAAAAAGCAGTGTGCAAAGTTACGGGAACTCTTCTGAGATGCCAAAAGACTTCTTGTCCAGTCACATACCCTGGGTAAAAACTCAGCTACCCTCAAGAACTAAGCAACTTGCATTCGCAAATTTTATAACTATATACCGATCTTGAAATTAGAAACACTTTCGATCTAGACAAGATCATTGAATTACAACATACCTATATTAAAAGCAAATCAGTAGATACTGCCCTACATGAGGTGAACACGTTGAGATGAGAATTAATAATTCTAGTTTCAAGGAGACTTAAAAATGTGAAGCTTGAATTCATCCATTCAGCTCTCGAATGTACAGGTGTCACCCCAAATGTAATATAATCGATTGATGGAATTTTGAATCATTGTATTGAAGAGAGTTCCGTGCGAAAATCTGTTAACAGAGGGACACCTCAAGGTGATAAAAACCTAAAGTTTATATGTGATGATGTAGTCCTCTTGATCTGTTGCACATATTTGCAGATAATATCCGACATAACGCAGGATCTTTAGCTACTCTGGCAAAGTGGAACATAGGTAATGGTCTTGGGGTCAATTCTACGAATCAGAAATTGTACTCTTCACTATGAAACGTATGATCGCAATTTTTGTCCTTTCTACCTTAAATGGAGTGACCTTGGAAATATCATTAGAAGTTAAATCCTTAACCACAAATTAACGTGGAAAAGAATGGTGGTAGATCGCAATAAAATGTTTCTAATAGCACTTTACTCATGCAAGAACTCCATAGGAAAGGACAAATAAATAGTGTACGGCAATCGATATTGTTCCTTGCAACCTTTGTTTTTAGTACATCCCATGCTACTTTGGACGTAATCCGTAATTTCCAGACACTGAAAATTTGACTAATTCCAAGCATCAAAATAGGATCTGAGTCTAAAAAAATAGGAACATGGTGAACCTCGTATTTTAGACTCGTTAGTGTATCCTATATGATTATAAATCGAGATTTTCTAGGTAATGCTAGCCAAGTTAGTGCAATATCTCGCTCAATTTGTAGATCGGATAACTGTGACCGTACTCTATTGAGCTCATCAGACAAAATCTGTTTACTTTTCTCAGTAAAGAGAATAAAAATGGCTTACTCTCAAAAATAGAACTCACTGAGTAAATGTTACTGGAAAAGTAATCACACACAAGGTGAGATTTATCGGCGCATTCCTTTTAGTACCTCCCCCAAAAAGGGTCAACATATTCAATCCAATATTAAACGAATGGTATGTCCGATTTGATCCCAACTCTACACATCGTAATGTTTTTACCAATCCTAGATTAAGTCCACAGTGGGAGCCATCGATTCTTTCCTTCCGATACCTCCCCCTCAAAGTGCAAAATATTTTGAAACATTGTTAATAAAATATCAAACGAATGGACTGTCCGATTTGAGCTAAACTTTACAAATCGTAATAATTTTTCCAAACCTAGATCATGTCTAAAGATGGGACCAATAAGTCCACTCCTTCTGGTTCCTGCTTACAAAGATTCAAAATCTTAATCCAATATCAAGCGAATGGAATGTTTGATTTGATCCAAACATTGCACTTCATAAAGTGTTAAAATTCGTTATTTCTATATCCAATTTGTTAATTCAATACCAAACGAGCAGAATACCTGATTTGATTTTTACCAAACCTATATAATATCCGAAGATGGATCGATCGTTCCACTCCCTCTGGTACATTCCCCACAATCAGTCAAACATATATTTATCTAGAGCAAGCTATCTTGGTCCCACTCCACAGATGGTCAACTATTTAATATTTATATATAGCGAATAATAAACCAGTGTGTAGTAGTTCCATTGACCTACGCAAACCATAGGCTGGGGGTATAAATCTGTCGGTAACACAAATGGAAACTTTTTATTTGCTAAATTCCAAAATGACGCATTGGGTATAGTTCAATGTGAAGAATCATCAGAATACGTTGATGACTATTGATCGAAGATGAAAGATATCATAGTACTTCTTTCTACAAAGAACTGCAGTGGAAATGTGTTAAACTAGGAATACGTGCCATTTTCTTATTTCCTGTTCTATTTTGTTTATTTTTTATCAATACTAAAAATAACGCCATTCATTTTTTAGCCATCAGAAATTGACTACTTGAAGACCAGACGAAAACTGTCAACCTATGTTGACCAAAGAATAATCTAGCAACAACATGACAACTAGATGTGGGTTAGGAACTTGGAACTGTGAGTAATGAAATAAATATTACACACATAATTAATTAATAAATATATTTGATAATAGCGTTATCTATCAGTTTTCATGATAACGCTTGTTAGGTCATAAATTTGGTGATTTTTGTTTGTTGGACACCAAACTCGTTCAGCACAGAAAAATACTATTTTTTAAAGTATGTAGTTATGAACGATTTGTCAACATTGGGACACTTCATAATAATATTTTTACCGTAATTTTAGGGTGACGGGTTCAGTAAATTTACCCATAGTTTTATATACATATACAGTCTAAACCGTTTATAACGATAAGTCCCAAAAAAACCCTTTAATTGAAGTCGACTAATTTCGCCGGTACCTTGGCCGCCATTAGAAGAGTTCTCGAATATTAATAAAAAAATTGTATTTAAAATCCCACTAAAATAAACTTTTTTATTACGTTATTCTTCTAATTTTTTATAAAAAAATCTGTCATTTTGCACACACATAAACACAAACGTTATGTTTATCTTTAAAACATTTTAAATAAATATACATTACTAATTGTTGTTTTTGTAATCTCCCACAAAACAACCTTTAATCGACTTTCTTGCTCTTTGACTTTTTAGCTGATGCAGCTTTACCAGCAGCCTTCTTTGGAGCAGCACCCTTAACGGCGCCACTCTTATTCCAGTAGTATAACATTTGGGCAACAATAACACCATTGGCAAAGGATGAAGCACAGAATGTGAGGATCATCATATTATCACCAGTCTCCTGAATTGAGGTAAAGATGCGAGCCAATGAACCGGCAAACAATAGGAATGCGGTGGCGGCGGACAATTGCCCGGTGGAACCATTTTTATAATTTGTAACAGCTTGCGATAGTTTGCCGGTCAACAGGATGGGGATGTTAAGACTTTGAATGGTAACCAAAATTTTGAATGGCAGCAGGCCAGAGCAGAGGACGTACACGAGTAGAGCATAAACGACGGAGAACAACAATGATTTGGCTTTGGCACCACCATAGAACAAGACCATAGCAGCAATTGCGGCCGTTTGGAAAGCCAAGAAGGTGTTATCACCCCAGGAGCTGAAGGGGAATCCGCTTACATAACTATAGGACATATGCACAGTGATGGCGGTCAAATCCAAGAGGACAGAGAACAAATTGATACCTTCGCCAGATTTGTTGTTGAAAATCTTTAACACCTGAGGTACTTTGACTAGCAGGGAACCGGCAATGATGGCCAAACCAAGGCCTTTACTCAGCAATGCCTTAAAACAGGGTACTGTAATCAGGGGAAAATGGGAAAATTATATAGATTGGATTTTATTGAAGACTTTTGTGTACTTACCATCAAAATAGTTATGCTCCTCAAAATAATTATCGAAACATTCCTCGGACATGAGGAATAAGGCACCTTTCTTAATGACTTCCATTGTAGAGTTTTGGTTTTTGCTTAGATAATTGTTCCAATTTTAGTTGTGGGCTAAATAATGTCGTGTTCTTTTTTCTTCCTTTGCACACCGGCTTTGATTGACACGTCTAACCTACTGCCGCTGCTGTTTGTACTGTACTCTTGAACTCTCTCTCACAACAGCAACCACCACTATTTGCACCAACAACAAAATCAACACAATCAGCTGTGTCTTATCAGTCAATTGTCGAGAAATATGAAAATGTTCTTCGTTTTATGCTGGTTTCGTTTTCAATACGATTTATTTGAACTTTACACGTTTAGAATTTTTGTTATCTTTAATTGATTTAATTGAATTTTTTGATTTTGTTTAACAATAAAGAGAACAACCACCCACATAAACACCGTAGGGAGAGAGAAAAACATTCAATCGATAAATAAAAGAAAAACACATTAGGGATTTGTAGATCGATTTATGACTTATCGACTTTGTACACGAATTGGGTGCTGGAATCCAACCGTTCAGACGTGAGCATTCGAAATTCACGGAAAAATAAACATTTTGGTCGAAAAATTAATTAAGAATAGTAAATTAGTAAATTCAATGTTTAAATCCATGTCAACGTTCGGAATTCCTGCAAAATTAATATGGCTGTGCAGGATAACTTTAACTGGGTCAGGAGTTAAAGTTTGAAAGGACCTCTCGGAGCCCTTTAATTAAGAATGAGGTTTCAGATAAGGTGACAATTTTATCGTGTGACATTTTTAACATCAAACTTGGTACCGGCATAAATAAAACTAATTACATCAGTTTTGAAATCCGGAGAAAAATAGTGTCGGCCAACAGATGGTCTAAGACTACTGGTACTAAATCTAATCCTGATTGATGATGAGCTGGACACCAGATCCTGTTGAACGACCGAGTGCAAGTCTGATTCCAACAGGTCTTGTGTCGGTACATGCCAACATTAAGCTCCTAAGGCAGACCGCGACCGATTCGATGTCCGACGATGGAGAATCTTTTGAGACCCCAGCAACGGACAACGATTCAAAGTTCGGAACTGCCCGAAAAGTATCCGATGCGAAGCACTACAAACGTGACGTATCGTATCTTCGCAAATTCGTAGGACTAGATTCGTAAGGAAGTTCAAAAGAACTTACCCGCACGCTCTGCATCGTGAGCTCGAGATGGAGAAGATCTCCCTCACGAAACAAACAGCTCGATTAAAGATCTCTATGGAGACCTCTGATTCGAGAAAAGTAGTAGCTGACTTCTTATCCGATGCCTAGTCCGAGTCAGAAGGCAATGGAAAAGGCTGTCGGGGTGTCCCGACACAAACTGTCATCGATAAGGTTGATATACGTGCGAAGGGCTCTGCCTCGAAGCCCGATTCTACGCCAACTTACAAATGTGAAGCGGTTGGTACTAAGGCTTTGAGTAGCCCCACCATTGGTCGAAATAGGAAGAAGGTCAAGGAACCATTTTCTTCTGGACTAGCGAACACTGTCCCGCAGGTCAAATTTGTGAAGCGCATTCGCTCATCAAAAGGTCCACAACCTTCACCCAAAAAGACCATGACTTCGCGTCTGACTGAGCCATCGACCTCGTATGCGGCTGTCGTTGAGCAACAAACTGCGAAGAAGAAACCGAGTACAAAATAGGTGGGTGCTAAGGTAATAAACTGCTTAAAGAGGAAATCGCCTTGGCTCAGGAGCCATATGTCTATAAAAATATGGTTTCTGGATTAAGGAATGCCAACTTAGACATATTCACCGCGAGGGGGACAATGTGTGGACTTGTATAGTAGTAAAAAGAGTTTAAATCGAATCTTTCTATCTAATTACAGCAACGGCATTCGACAGGGAGGTCCACTCTGCTTTCCTCAGTCTACATGCCATACGAAGACCAGGACCTACTAAACCTAGGTGTGTGAAAAATGCACGACAAAATGACGAGCCCCTGCAACGTCATCCTGAAATGCGACGCAAACGCTCATCATTTCTAATGGGGTAGCAATGACACTAACAAAAGAGGTTAGACTACTTTCGATTTTATATAGAGGAGGTCATTGACTTAACCCTCTCAAATCTAGAAGACTCCGTCATCAACAATTGGAGAGTATCTGATGAATGCTCCTTTTCGGATCATTTGAAGGTCTTCTTTGAGGTCTGTTATGACGGAGGCTTACTTAAGCTTTATAGAAATCCGAAAAGAACAAACTGGAAGAAATAAACGCGTTTAACGAGTTCCCAGCTGACGTTTACTACTAATTTAGAAAAAGGTGAGGAGCTTAATGGAGCCGTGCACAATCTTACAGACGTTCTTCTCCGCTGCCATAAGGAATCCTGTCCGCTAACATACTCTGGGATGAAATCACAGCCATTGTGGTTGAACAGGGAACTGAGTGAACTCAGGAAAGTGACCAGATTACTATAAAACAGGGCGCATAAATCAAAACTCGAATACAAGAGTGAGACTAAGCGTTCCAAGAAAAAGTCTTGGATAAATTTCTGTGAGTCGATAGTAGGAGTGAACGACGCTGCTAGGTTTCGAAGATTACTATCCAAGGATCCAAAATCCATCGGGGGTATTAAGAAACAAGATGTAGCGTGGACGGACTCTGGTTCTGAGACTCTTAACCTCCTAGCAGAGACCAATTTCCAAGGTTGCAAAGATGTGGATAGCATCAACATAGAATGTGATGATACTCAACCTCTTTCGACTATATATTCGGATCTCATTGGCAAGGTGGTTAGCAGAAATAAAATAGATCGACACATTCAAGCCATATAAATCACCAGAACTAGATGGTATCACAACGGCGATGATTCAATTTGCCTCGCTAACGAACGTAGATGCAATGTGTCAAGATCTATCTGGCCGACTCTGTCAACCAAAAGAACAAACTGTTGAGGAACAAACAGGAGTCATTACTGCTCAGTGCAATATCAGGACCTTTACCAGTAAGTGGGACCATGATGTTAATGACTACTGCAGACTCTGTGTTGACGAAGAGGAGACGGAGACAATTGAGCAAATCCTGTGTCGCTGTCCAGTCCTGGCCTACAGAAGGCACAGATTGATGGGTACTCATTTTCCACCGTGTCTAAACTTCTATTCAACTATGGAACCTGCTTTAATCGACAGCATCATTAGAAACCTTACGTGGTTGGGAAAGTGCAAAACGTAATATATAAACTTATATAGCTATCAAAACTACTTACCTGCCTCCTCATACATCCATTTTTATACCCTTCACCACTCTGTGGTACAGGGTATTATGTCTTTGTGCATATGTTTGTAACAGGCAAACGGAAACGAGATAGACACATGGTTCCTTTTGAGAATATGCATAGAATCCCTTTCTGAGTCGATTTATGCATGTCCGTCCGTCCGTCTGTCGATGTTAAATTGTAAACAAAGTACAGGTCGCATTTATAATCCGAATTGGATGAAATTTGGCATAGGTCACTTATTCGGCCCAAGGACGAACCCTATTGAAATTGGGAAAAACGGTTCAAATTTAGATATAGTTCCCATATATATTTTCGTCCGATTTAATGTAAAGGGTCCCTATATATTTTTCGATTTGCACGAAATTTTGGTATAGCTTAATGAATTAGGTCTAGAATGATGTGTGCAAAGTTTCGTAAAAATCGGTTCCGATTTGGATATAGCTCCCATATATATTTTCGTCCGATTTGAGGTAAATTGTGTACCAAAGTCCCTATATAACTTTCGATTTTCACGAAATTTGGCACAGCGTAATGAATTAGGTCTAGAATGATATGTGCAAAGTTTCGTGAAAATCGGTTCAGATTTCGACATATCTCCCATATATATGTTCGTCCAATTTATGTAAATGGTGCACCAAGGTTCCTATATATAGCTTTCGATTTGCACAAATGAAATTTGTGTTCATTTTCGTGAAAATCGGTTCAGATTTAGATATAGATTATATTCTTAACAACGCGGCGTACCGAATAGCGTGTATCAATTTTGCTATAAATCGTTTTCCATAAATTTTCCCCATGTTACGCAGGCGGCTCTAAATCTGCTCGAATGAAATTAAAATTAGGATAGGTTGGAGAAAGAGGGAACATAGACATGCAGTTGTTAGGATACATATGTACAATATACCCAACGTGGTGAAGGATATCATATAGTCGGCCCAGTCCGACTTTACTACTTTCCTTACTGGTTTCTTATTTCTTCTACCGTTATGATGAGTCTCTTAGCTTAACTACTATTTGGACCATCAATGACCCCAAGATATTAGGTGTAACGATCGAAAGACTTTGCAAGTCTTGTCTGCGCAATCTATTACGTTAAGGAGAGAAGTAGGAACAAGGTCTTTAAGTAGCTGACCATGTTGACATATGTAAAATATTAAGAAATTCCCCTCCGCAAATATTTTTAACAATTTTCTCATGACCACCATCGAAATCGATTACAAAAAGGAAATTGTATTTGAAGCAAAATTGATAATTAATATTTGTTCAGAATATGTGGTTCGTATTTGTTTGTAACATATTAAGTTTACATGCACATTTTCTACAGGACCTGGTGTCCATCTAGTGCAGTGAACACAATCGTGATTTGTTATTCTCCGAATGAAAGGACAGAGGACAAGGAACGTCAACAGCAATCATAAGGAAAACTCTTCTTATCTAAAACTTAATTGAGTCTCAATTTGGTTTCTTTGCAATACCAAAGGGATGTAAGGATGTTATTGTTGTAAATGTTTGTAAATCAACATAGGGTGTGTGTCAGGGGAGTGACATGACATTTTAACATCAAATATCCAAAAAGGAGAATAAATTCTTCTTTTGAAATCACAAGGATCATGGCTGAGATCAAGGATGAAACTGAGCTCAGTTTTAAATTTCTATCCTCCCAATAGCTGACCCCTTTGGTGAACAACATACTTAGTTGGTTTTTCTTCTATCCGAAACCAAAACTCATAAGGCGTGATTGCAATTGCAATTAGTTTTTGTGATTGCCGTTCCCTTCTGTCTGTCAGTGTGTGTGTGTGGGATTCCAATTAAGTGCAGGTGTTGGAAAATTAATC